AGAATATTCTCTTTTAACAATGACAGAATTCACGCCCGTAAAAAGAAGCAGCGCTGATGGCTTTGCTTAAATGATCAGCCGCTGTCGTCGCTTATAAACCTCGAAACATAAGGTCACGGAAACAAATCACGTTTTGATGAGGCCAAACTTGGCGCACACCTTTTGCGGTCGAAATAGTTTGCAGTCGCTCATTTCCGTATGTCTGATGCGCGTATCATGGCCCGTAAAACCAACCAATTAAATATGACAAAACCGGGTTTTGCATACACGCTACGATGAACTCCAAGTTTTATCGGCACAGAAAAGTAGAAATTTGGCAAGAGCAGTTATGCGCATGCCGGTAAGCAGCAGCTTTCAAATTGCTTGGACCTAATTTTCTATCAGAAAGCATGCCAAAGGGCTTGGAATACTCAGAAAAGCTAAGCAGTTCTGCGAGTAACCAGATACAAAGCCTATAGCACTTGATAGCTATGCCCGTGTCGTTCTTACGCAGGAAACGCTTCTTTTTCTTTTCTTTTCTGGTGTGCGCAGCGTTCTGAATAAACACGTTGAACTGCCTGCTACTACTGAATCTTTTTCCGCTGACATTCTTGGTCTGGAAGAGACTTGGCTTTCTGCAAAGGTAGAAAATTGAAGAAATCTTGCTCTTGACTCTTGTTCCGCGGACGTCCTTGGCCTGAAAGAGACTTAGCTTTCTGCAAAGGTAAAAATTCAAGAAATCTTGGATTGTGAGAAGCGCTTGAAATTTCACCTCTGTGGCCACAACTACCAGCCTGGTGGGGGTGTTCTGCTGGCGGTTGCCAATAATCCTTCTTTTCATAATACGCCTGGTATATCATCACTTCAACTTGTATTCGTTCGAGTGCTCGTTGATTCTCGCGAAATGAAATAATAGTTTCTTTCTGCTATTGCCACCAACTGCATCATCATCATCCTTTTGCAATGACCAGCATGGTGTTGTAGATTAGCTCTTCATCAGATGCCCAATATCACCTCTGTTCATCTTTAGTTTTTTCACCTTTATAGACATAACGTGGAAAACAGACCCGGTTAACGTAAGGCACAAACTACCTAGCTTGTTGACTTTTCTATTCGCGTTATTCCCACTTCCGCTAACGTAGTAGACCAATTACTTACCACTACACCTGACTTTGCTTCACTACATCTCACTCCTCTACCGGGTACTAGTGACCATCGTATAATCCGCTTCACTTTAAAAGCACAGGCTTTCGTCATGAAAAGTACGAAAATGGTTCAAGGCTATGCCAAGTGGACTTTAACGGAATGAATACAGAGTTACATTTTTCGTTGACCTATTTTTTTTTTCGTTTTGGGTAGCAATCAGACGAATGGAACGAATTAGAATACAACAAGAAATTGCTAGCCCTAATTGACCAATTTATACCTAAAAGGAAAGTATAATTTAATCGCAGTTCTCCGTGGTTCAATAGCATGTTAGTACCCATGCACAATAAAAACAAGCATCTATTCAGATGCGGCAAATCATCAGCCAGAGCAGACCATTGGCCTTCCTATCAGACATTTAACATAAAATTCTGTACTGTGCTTTCGAAGGCCAAAAAAGTATTTTTCAACGAAACTCTTCCTTCGCTGCTGCGCTCTGATCAACGTCAGTTTTGGAGCATCATTATCGGGACTAAAACGTGACATATCCAATTTATCCAGTCTAATGCGAAAGTCGCTCGTAGCGAGTGCTGCAACATTCAGAGTAATGTCTTTGCCCCACACTTTAATAACAGCATCCCAACTATATTCGCACGTCTAACAAGCACCAATTTCTGGCCAAAGAACCCTATAATCATTGATTCAGGTGGTGTCGAAAGACTGACTATTCGTAAACTTGAAAGTATCATCATCGGCTGGTCCAGATTGCTTTTCATCGAAAATGTTAAAGGCACTCAAGTTTATTCTTTTTTAATGTTGTCAGAACTTTTTGAACAGTCATTGCAGACGTCCACACTGCCATCTGGCTGTAAGGCTGGGAAGGCGGTCCCTGTGCATAAATTGAAGGAAGGACATTCCCTCCAAAACCTGTGTCCCATATCGTTAGCATTCATTCCAGTTAATATCCTAAAGCATGTCGTAAACTCGCTCCTCATTGAATTCCTTGAATCTAATTTCTTCTTCGGCATTTATTAGCAAGGGTTTTGTAAGGCATTTGTAAGCAAAACACAGATTCTGTGTTTTACTGACGATTTGTTTATTAACGCAGATATTGAATTGGGTACTGGCTGAATACACTTAGATTTCGCTAAAACGTTTCACTCCGTTTCACACGAACTACTCATTTTCAAACGTGCTCAGCTCAACGTCGACCCCACTGTACTTCCATGGATTAACAGCTCTCTCCCTTACCGCAGCCTGTACATGACAGCTAATCATTTTATTCCCCTAGTTCCGCAGACACTACTGGTGTACTTCAAAGGTCCGTTTTAAGCCCCGGCTTCTACTAACTTAAAAAAATGGTCTTCCTTGTTGTGTTTCTTTTTTTGCTGCCGGCGTTTTTGAAGATGACTGCATCGTCTTTTAAAAAATAACAAGTAATATCGATAATCTTTACTTTCAACGTGACCTAAATAGTATATTCGTATGGTGCAACGTATGGTTCATGACACTCATATCGAAATGCAAGAGCATACAAGTTTCACGTCGCACTACTACCCACTTATGCGTACACATTCCCTCAATACCATTCATTTGCCATCTGTTGACAATTATTAACACCTTGATGTTTACATGACTTTTCAATTTTCTCGAAATAAACACACAGAATACGTGAGCTTTTTCTCTGCTCGATCGTCACACAAGCGAACACTTAAAAAACACTGGTAAGACCTAAATTAGCGTAGGCATGCACCATAAGGGAACCAACTCATGTCTTTCTCATTCAATCTCTCGAAGTCACTGTAAATCACGCAGCACGTTTCATCTTATATAATTACAACAAATGCAACATCCATGAAGGGCGCTTTAAAGTAGCCTGATCTTTCAATAAACCACAAATTTTCTCGCTGTAACTTTTCTCAGAAAATCTATCATTAGAACATCCATTTGAAGGATGCCTTTTTTTCATCCACCTCGTGCCATATCACCAAGGACCGATCAACGCTTCAAGGTGAACCTACCATCTTGTCACACCAGACTCTATGGCAAATCATTTGTGCCAAAAACAAGCACCGCCTGGAACCACCTTCCCACCTCCATCACCTGTTTGACGGACCAAAAAGACTTCAAGTTCGTCGTAACTGATTCCATGTAATTTATTTGTTTCTCTTTTTTTCTAAACTGCAATTACAGTTGTTCACATCACTCCTTTCTGTAGCGCCTTTGGGCCCTGGAAGTACATTTTAAAAACAAAGAAATAAATTACCGGGTGCCTTGCTTTGAAACGAGAGTTTGAAATGACACATTGTTCTTGAGTGTTTTAGTAAGCAAAATGAACTAAAGTGAGCAATTAAGCCTCCTTTGATAATAACGATTACAGTGTTGTTACAGAAGTTTGTCTTGCTGGGTAATCAGCTCTCTAGTCTGACAAAGACAAGAATGAGTCATTTTGCGTCTCGGTGCTTTTCTACATCATCGACTTGAAGAAAAGGTTGTGGATTTTTAAGTTTGAAGTTCATAAGTTAAGATTGATGTATATGGAAATTATGCACTAATAACCATGAAAATCTTCTGTTATTTAGCTTGTAATGTAAATTATCCAGCCATCTACTGCTTTTATATAACAGTTCTTTATACAGCCATCTGCAAGAGCCGGTTTGGCGAGTATGAATTACGCAAAAAACTTGTCGTGTTCATCGTCAAACTCTTGCAGAAACCTTTGACAAGTAACCGTATACCAGGAGCCACGGTATGCAGGTACGCATATTCGTTTAGCGTAGCGAACTGGGAGCGCGGGAACACATACTCGACGAAAGCAGAACCACACAACACGAGTGCTCTTCTTCCTCCATCCTATGTCTTCTCTCGCTCTCATAGTTTATTCAACGAATATGAATTACTAACTAGCAATCTTTTAGCAATGAAGGTTTGCGCCACAGGTAAGGGAGAGTTTGTATCAACCTAGCAAGAGCAAAAGCGCACCTTCGTGAGCTAAATGCCAAAGCGTTCAAAAAAACTTACACCGGCAGCGTTGACCCGACGAATATAAACCATAAACATTGGAAATCGAGAGGGAATCGAGTGAAACAATTCTGTATGGCAAGCTAGGTATTGGAGCACCACAAGGTCTTGAAACTGCTTTGAAAGAAGATCCTATGGAGGCGTAACGTCAGTGCAGCGTTTATCATGGTTTCAACACTGCGTATCTAATTTTATAGAGAACTAGTAAACATTACACGTTTAACTTAATCGTACAGGCGTCTTGTCGAGTAAACATCAAGTTTGTTTTCAGTGTAGTTTCTGCATTATTCAAGTCTAATAACAAATCTGTCTCCATTCTTTTAATTTACGCACCTATATTCATGCGTTGCACGATTCCGAAGGCCTACGCTAACGAAATATACAACAATATTCACATTATCGCACCTTAAGTAGCCTTAATTTTCTTAAAACTGTGTTTTGATCTGTGATTCTAACTTGACTTTTGATGTTACGTAAAGCCACAAGTCACCCTTTTGGTGCAAGTTTACTTGATTTTTCTGGTAGACCCACAATGCGCATAAAGCTATAGAATACCCCTAGAAGAACACTCCGATCCACCCAACGCTTTGCTCCAAGAGAGGCAACGCCTTAGAGAGAATTTCTCGCCGAATGCTTTTTATAAAACCGAATCCCACAAGGCGTATACTCAGCCTACGATTTCACTCTACCTTTTGTTGCTACACGAAAGTGTACAGTAATTCACAAAATAGATACGACTAAATTACGGCGTGCAATAAAACTGAAGAAATGCCTACATCTTACGCTTTTTGCAGCGTTTCTGTAAGTGAAGGGCAACACTTGCGCGAGCACAAAAGTTTATGAGGAGCACTTACTTGTAAACATTGTTGTGATACTTGTTGTAGCTGCCTAGCGCTATTAAGGAGCCCAGTCCTAAGCCATAAGAAAAGAAGATCTGCGTGGCAGCATCAATCCAGACCTGCGATAAATAAATGAATACTATACTATTCAGCTACTGAATTCACGCATATCAGAAATTGGGAGATATGACACGAATGTTGCTGTGCCAGGGTATGCCAAATTGGCCTCATGACATTGCAATAAAGTTGAGATGATTGAAATTTCCTGCGCCCTCCCAAACGGCATTCCTGGCAATCATATCGTGGCTTTAGGACATTAACCTTATGCGTGATAGTGTTAATTGGCATGATGGTTCCCGAGACAACAATTTTTCCCCCTGTCCTAAGATAACAAATCGTCATGACATTACTAAGCACTGTCAGAAAGCACTATCTCCAAAAAGACAGTTGTCAACTGGTTAAGTAAAAAGCAATTGAACAGTGTCTTTGTTCAAAAGATCAATTTATTTTGACACGTTCAAGGCGCTGCTTTCACACTTCACGAAATGACACGTGTGTCATGTCATCCATGTAGCTTACAATGTTGCCATACGAGTTTTGTTAACGTAGCCTGTTCATTGCATATGTAACCACCGAAATGTATCGGACGAGGAGAAATAAACTTTATTTTCAGAAACCAGCAGGTTTAGGTGGCCGGGCCTAGGCTTTGGAATGCTCCCGACTATACTTGAACATCACGACAAAATTACTCGTACAACACGAACAATACAGTTCACTCTATAACTGACGCTGGTGCCAACGACGACGCGGGATGCTAAGGAACGTGCATGAGTTGATGCATGTCCCGCGGCGGTGGTTCGGCTAAGGTATTCGGCTCGGTTCCCATCATAATCATGCTTTGCTCGAACGAACAAACAGCGATGAAGACAATCTTAACAATTATGGCTTTTCTAGCACGCACAAAAAAACAGAACAACAAATAGACAGACGAGCACTACAGACAGTCTTTTTTATCTCTTTATTGCTAAAGACGTTAAAATATGGACACAAACCAACTCGCCCACCTGTGTGTTTTGCTATAATCTTAACGATTTCTTTGGCTGGCAGAGAAATTTACTTGGAGCATGCGTGCGAAAATACAAGAGTAACAAGAGCAACAAACAACAAAAAAAAAAACGTAACAGATGAGCACTTCGCAAAATAAAAAACACAAGCACACACACATCAACATGACCACAAAATTGAAACATTTACGCCTCCGATATGTGCGAGTGAACCCGAAAAATAACAACGAGATTTAATTAATACCAGGAGGAGCATTTTTGTAAATAGTTTCGTGGAGCTGCTGTTTTTCTCCCTCCGTTCCAGGTTTATGTTTCGGAAGGAAGGCTGTTCATGCTCAGCGTTTCTGTGTGTGCATTGGACTGCGAGGTCCATTAATTTTTAGCCACACTTCCTTAGGTAAGCTTGATAGAGCCGTCAGTAAAGCCCTGTGTGAGTTGGCACATAATATAATGAGGCACGTGGATAACTATATCATCTTTGTTGACGCGCTCAATTTCAGCCACCAGGTAGTGAATATGTTGAATGTCTTCAGGGAAGAGGGTTTAGGGCTTAAGGTTTCGTTCGAAACCCCAAAAGACGCAACCATTCTGTTCCTCGGCCTGAACCTCGTGCTAGGCGGTTCACACGTGTGCTGGAAATACGAGCCTCGCTCTTCAAAATACCTGCCAGATTACCGCTCTGCGCACTTCAAGTTGGCAAAATGCAATTTCCTTCAACTGCGTCCATTTAGCGGTCACAAAACCATGCCATCATTTGATGCACGAAAGTGCAACAGGCTAAGTAAAGAAACTGCGCGAAGCTGGCTACCCTGAAAGCAGAATCACCACGGCGAGCCAAAAATGCCTGAAGCTCATCAAGGCAAAAACGAATGATGAGCAAATAGTTGCTCCAGTTGAGGAGAGAATAGAGAACGCCGTCAATATGTATATTCATGGTCTTTTTCATGGGCTGAAGAAGGTGGCCTTCCGATACAACGTGGACGTCGGTTTTAAAGAGCCACTCACCAGGCCCCCATACCAATTTTCAGTTAGATATTGGAAGTTGTTGAGCGTCCAATGAGGAACATTTTGCCACAAAAATTTTTCGAATCGGTTCATCACGAGCGGAATAAACAGGTATTTGAAGCGGCGCGAAACAAGGTTGAGAGAAGGCGAGCTCGAAACCCTTGCGGCGTAGCCTCCTCAAACCAAATCTCTTCCCCACCCCGTGCGGAATCCGACCAAAAAGTGACGTGCGCATGACGTGCCCAAACAAGTCTAACCCCCAAGAGCGCGAGCGCCGTAGCTTTGTTGACCAGCGTTATTCTGTGGCCTTCTGCCTATTTCTGTGGGATTGTTTGGGAACGCTGGCTTAGACGCGGTAGAGTAGATGAGCACAACGAGTGCGCGAACGCGTAGGAGCGTTCCACGGCGGTCGTCTGCTGAATGCGCTGACCGCGGGGACACGAACTCATGCAAAACGCCGGCACATTAGCCTCGTATCTCGTAGCATTTCACGGGAAAAAAAATGAAAGAAAAACGCGCAAAATTTCTTATTGCATCTCATTATTTATTTCAAATTTTGATTATCTCCTAAAGCAACAAACGCATAAACTACGGATGTTGTGTTAAATAATTTTTGCCATGTCACGTGGTATACTGATGACAACGTCAGAGCAGAGTCGTCTACGTAGAGGAGCAACGCCATTGCATTGCTGTGTACGTAGGGCCATTCATACGCCCACGTCATGCCCTCATTCTCCAGGCGTGCGCCGGCAGAGAGGAGGCGGATCAGCGTTCACCTTGAAATTTGACTCATTTCCGCGGGGCGTAGCGTTGAAAATTTTCGAAGACGTGATCATGAATGCCTCGTCTACGCATTGCGCTTGTCAGCTCGAAATTGTTACACCAGGTGATTGGACCGAAACGTAAGATAGGCTCCATTCGTCCGGCTCTTCACAAGTGCCTACACAACAAAAAACTGCCGAATCTGTCCCCATAAAATATTAACCATACAACGCTTTTTGCTTCCTGTGTTGCCAACATTTTTTGTAGCACTCCTTTTCCATGTAGCCAACACTATTTAGATCAGAGGGTCCTCTGCCTGAATATCAGTCTAAGGGAGCATCACAGCTCCCTTAAAAGGCGCACCATAGTCACACCTTGCGCGGAAATGTAAAGAATGTGGGTGAATTCCAGAGTTTAGCGATACTTCCGTTCTTTTCCGGCACAAACAAAGGACCACAAGAGAAATAGCCATTCTACATTCACAACAATGCTTCCACGTGTGTCAGCCAGCCAATTAATAACCTGCTAACAAGCAAGTAGTTTACCTTGATACGTTTTCGATGCTGAAAGCAGGCTGGCGATAGCCACTAGCTTGCTTGCCATGACATGTGTGGTCTCTCACCTCAGTTGTTTGCTGTTTCTGAATTATGTCTTCATTAGTAGGAGACACGTGGGGTTTTTCGCGTTTTTAAACTCTGAGGTGCTAGTGGTCTTCCGTTTTTTTTTTTAGACTGTAGTTTTACGAATGAGTTTTCATGCTCGCTGTAGGATGAAAGCAGACATTTTCTGTGAATAAACTCAAGTTTAAAGGGAGCGCTCGTCTGTTTGACTCTCTCCTTTGTTTCTTGTCTGTTTACGGGCTCTAAATACCGCTATGCTCAAGTATCAGCTCGCCCAAATTTCAGTGTATTTAAATAAATGAAATCTTTCAAATATTAGCATCCAACAAAACGACTGAGAGCCTACTAACAAAGTAGTCCCCTGCTCTGTGGATGAAAGAAATCTTCCACATATAGTGTGCGCAACTTTATCCTTTTCTTTCTTACAAAACTACGTGCGTGCAAATCAGCAGTACAGCAACAGCATTTGCAATGCTCGCCCGTTTGATCCGCTTTTTTTGTTTCACACCTTTAATTTACGTTCTTTAGATTCTCCTTAAAACATTGGCCGGACCGACCGATCTACTGGCGACCACGACACATAGGAATACTCATCAATGACATTAAAAACGAGCGCAGTGAACTTATTCTGGTGTTTTTTGACACAAACACAGCGCTTTTTCGGCTGCGTTCCTGAGGAATAAGTGAAGACTTTCTGAGAAGAAGCTTTTAAAAAGGGGAATAAAATGTTATGATTAAGAGGGCACGTGTTCTAAGCTGGAAGGTAGTGATGGTGAATGAAGCCTTAATGGTGCGCATACGCACCCCGTTCACGGACGGCTTCGGTCGGAGGAAAGCCGTTAACGCGTGACTCGACTTGACGTGGAAATCCTCCAGACGATGAGGTAGAATATTCCTGTGGTGCTCCAAACAAACAAGTCCGAAGAAGACAGCGTCGTCATCGCGTCGAAGGCTCTGTAACTCAGATTTGAACGTGATGTCATGAGTGTGCTGGAAAGTTGCCGTAGACTACGGTGGTCACACAGAGGCGCTCTGAGGGCCTGCGGTATCTTGAAACAGCAGTTGGTTGACTTGTTGGTTGGTTAGCCCTTAAATGCCTGATGCCGCCCACCACGGGGTTTTAGCCGTGAAACGGACGGTACCTTAGCTTAGCATTACATTTGTTTTACAAGCCTAATAAGTTTAGATAGGGATGTTTTAATAACAAAATTATAAAACACATAATAAATAGAAATTCAAGTGGAACAACGACAAACTAGCAGCGTTGAAAATAAAGTGAATTTACGCCTGAGCTTGACATTCTATTTGTTTTTTTTTAAATCTGTCCTACGCGGAAGGCGTAGCACAGTGACAGCGAAAACTAGAAAAGAGGCCTTTCAGAGCCTTTACAAAACACTCATTGGGTTACTGCTGCAACCGCATTTGCCTGATACGTACTAGGACATTAATTATATATCTCTTTGTAGGAGGCCGGCAGTTGCTATGCTATTTTTCTTTATTCTTCTGAGAAGCGTGGAATCCGCTAAACAATTGCAAGGGATTTTATGACAATTGTTCATGCAGTGGCTGACGACGAAGAGAAGTTATGGCTGAAGTGGGTATGCGCCACAGTCAATAGGAGCACAAGAACAAGTTTTGTATGGGGCTAGAGCATTGGACGGCCCACGC